TTTTTCCCAAATCCTCACGTTTTTTCCCCGTTTTCCCCACAGGAGCAGATGAAGGCCAAGCGCAAGGAGGCCGAGCTGCGCCAGGTGCAGTCGCAGGCACACGGACTCCAAATGCGCCTGAAATACTCCCAGAGCGACCTGGAGCAGACCAAGACCCGACACCTGGCCCTCAACCTCCAGGTTTGGGGTGAAATCCCACAATTCTGGGAAAATTCCTGGTTTTTTTAGCGAAAATCCCACAGTTTTAGGGGAAAAATCCGCGGTTTTAGGGGAAAAATCCGCACGTTAGGGGAGAAATTCCTCGGTTTTTAGGAAGAATTTACTGGGTTTGGGGAGAAATTCCTGAGTTTTAGGGCGAAATTCCTTATTTTTGGGGGAAATTCCCAGGATTTTGGGAAAATTCTGCATTTTTGGGGAAAAAAATCGCGAGATTTGAGGTAAAAATCTGCAGTTTTGGGGATAAATCCTGGGATTTTGGGGCTCCAAATGCGCCTGAAATACTCCCAGAGCGACCTGGAGCAGACCAAGACCCGGCACCTGGCCCTCAACCTCCAGGTTTGGGGCGAAATCCCACAATTTTGGGAAAATTCTGCATTTTTAGGGAAAAAATCCTGGGATTTGGGGTCGTAATTTGCAGTTTTGGGGGAAAAATCCGCAGTTTATGGGAGAAAATCCTCCATTTTTAGGAGGAATTCTCCAGTTTTGGAGAGGATTCCTTGGATTTGGGAAGAAATTGCTGAGTTTTAGGGAAGAGGTTCCCATTTTTTGGGGGTAATTCCCAGGATTTTGGGAAAATTTTCCATTTTTTGGGGAAAAAAATCCCGAGATTTGAGGTCAAAATCCGCAGTTTTGGGGATAAATCCTGGGATTTTGGGGCTCCAAATGCGCCTGAAATACTCCCAGAGTGACCTGGAGCAGACCAAGACCCGGCACCTGGCCCTCAACCTCCAGGTTTGGGGTGAAATCCCACAATTTTGGGAAAATTCCTGTTTTTTTGGGGAAAAAAATCCCAAGATTTGGGGTCAAAATCTGCAGCTTTAGGGGAAAAATCCGCACATTAGGGGAGAAATTCCTCGTTTTTTAGGAAGAATTTCCTGGGTTTGGGGAGAAATTCCTGAGTTTTAGGGTGAAATTCCCCATTTTTGGGGGAAATTCCCAGGATTTGGGAAAATAACGCTTTTTTGAGGGAAAACATCTGCAGTTTGGAGGAAAAAATCCACAGTTTTGGGGATAAATCCTGGGATTTTGGGGACTCCAAATGTACCTGAAATACTCCCAGAGCGACCTGGAGCAGACCAAGACCCGGCACCTGGCCCTCAACCTCCAGGTTTGGGGTGAAATCCCACAATTTTGGGAAAATTCCAATTTCTAGGGAAAAAAATCCCGAGATTTTGGGTCAAAATCCACGGTTTCGGGAGGAAAAACGGCAGTTTTTGGGAGAAATTCCCCATTTTTTAGGAGGAATTTCCTAGGTTTGGAGAGAAATTCCTGAGTTTTAGGGAAGAGGTTCCCATTTTTGGGGGAAATTCCAGGAATTTTGGGAAAATTCTGCATTTTTTGGGGAAAAAAATCTGCAGTTTTGGGGAAAATCCCGAGTTTGGGGGTGAAATTTCTCAGGTTTTGGGAATTGAGGAGAGATTTTGGCATTAAGGGAGGGATTTTGGGATTCAGGGATGGATTTGGGGATTCAGGGAGAGGTTTTGGGATTCAGGAAAGGATTTTTGGGATTCAGTCCAGAATTTTTGGGATTTAATCAGGAATTTTTGGGATTTAATTGGGAATTTTTGGGATTCAGGCAGGAATTTCGGGATTCGATCAGGATTCTTGGGATTCAATCAGGAATTTTTGGGATTTTGGGATGGATTTTTGGGATTCAGAAATGGATTTTGGGATTTTGGAATAGATTTTTGGGATTCAGTCAGGAATTTTGGGATTCAATCAGGAATTTTTGGGACTTAATCGGGAATTTTTGGGATTTAATGAGGAATTTTTGGGATTTTGGGATGATTTTTTTGATTCAAACAGGATTTTTGGGATTCAGTCAGGAATTTTTGGGTTTCAATCAGGATTTTTGAGTTTCAGTTAGGAATTTTTGGGATTATCACCTTTTTTGGTGATTTTTTCGGTGATTTGGGGTTTTCACCCCATTTTTTCCCATTTTTCCAGGAGAAGTCCAAGCTGGAGAGCGAATTGGCCAATTTTGGGCCACGRATCAACGACATCAAACGGATCATCCAGGGCCGGGAGCGGGAAATGAAGGACCTGAAGGAAAAAATGAACCAGGT